CTTGCTTTTAATTTTTTTTCCTCACCAGCTGAACATAGGCCTCTTTATTTTTAGTCGCTATTAGGAAGACTCAGCTGGCCATCTCCTGATTTGTTTTCCTCTGTCGCCTCTTACGACACCCACGGGATGAATTGGGATAGTGGATATTCTTACAACGCCACTACACGGTCAAACCCCACTCAGTTCTAAACAGTCCACCGCTTGACATAAGCCTTTTCAACTCCACAAATAATTCGTCTCAGCCGCCTTATTTGGCAGGCGGAATCACGCAGTGCTGCTAATCACTAGTCTAGGTATTTTCGCGTAAAAATTCCGTGAGGTATTTCACATGTATGTAAACGATTTTGTTATTCTATACTGCTACAAACTGGCAAGAACGTAAAAATTTAAAAATAATATAAATAAGTAATCATACGATATATCGTATATACGTATAATAATTTACTAAAATAAAATTCAAAACAGGTAACTGAATTTGCGTTACATATCACACGTAAATCTTATAACGTATAGTTTTCAAAACAGAAGTAAGGAAGCGTCGTGTAAGAAATAAGGTAAGTAGAACTGTGAAAGCGAAAAGAGTAAATTCTTTTTAGGGCTCCTCTCAAAAGTGACAAACGAGCCAACAGACTACCCGATGGTACTGTGGCCCATAGAAACAGTATAGAGAGCCAAGATATAGCTACATATAGTCGCAGTTGCAGCACGAATGGCGTGGAACGGAAGAATAATGCTGCTGTGTTACGTCATCTGTACTTTTACTGTAGTGTTGAGTCCGAGACCCTCGTTTAAACCGACTTAAAAAAATGAGGAGGTTCTCAATTCGTCGGAATCATTTTTTTATGTATGTTCACCGATTACTCGTAGACGCCTGAGCCGATTTGGAAATTTAAATTAAATTATTTAATTTAAATTTTATCGAAATCGGTAGAGCGATTTAAAAAAAAATCAACAATAAATTATTTTATTTCTACGACACAAGTTCTGCATTTTGATACTTATTTGTGATAGATGCAGATGTACATGGGGTCCAGCTATCCACTTTCCATCAGGTGAACTATGTGCTCGTTTTTAACCCTTCCTTAAAAAAAACAAGACCAAATTCAACTATACAAAGAAAAAGTAAAGTGAAGTAACAGCCTATATTCATCCGATTGTTGGACTGGGGCCTATTCTCACTTCCGAGAGGGTTTTAGGGTAAGGTAGTGTCCCCCACGCTGCCCTAATGTGTATTGGCGGACTACACATGTCCTCGGAATATGTTTTTGTTATCCCAATTGTGATGCAGTTTTCCTCACGATATTTTCCTTCACCGCCGAGCACATGGTAAATCAGCACTTAAAATGGAAATTAACAATTCCATTGGCGCCGGCAGGGATCGAACCTGGAATGCTCGCGTACTGTGAAATTTACAGCGAGCGCTAAGCCTCTGAGTTACCACTAGTCTAACTTAACAAAACCTGTCGTAAAAAGCATATGATGTTCGCCTTTTAATTCGCCTAAAACGATTTTTAAAAAAATACTTAAGCTTGTAATTTTTTGTTTTTCATTACTAGTATCGCATCATTCGATTAAATATATTATATTTAACAAAGTATTTATAAAACGTTTCAATAGATATGTACTTCGTAGTATGACGTGTTTCTGATACGTTTGCTTTGTTCTCTTAATTATAGCCAGTGTATGTATGTCGTCATCCAGAACGCTAGTTGCATGTTTATAAATGTTTATGATTTGTCAAAGTAGTGTATTTTTAGGGTTCTGTGCCAAAATGAGTTAAACGGAAAACTAAAACGGAATCACCGCGGAGTTTGTCTGTCAGAGTATTTGTTTGTCAAAGATCATTTCATATCGTAGACAGAGAAACCTATAGACTAATGATTAGCGTGGCCTCGAGTGAGAAAGGATGATAACGTAGTTTTAGGTTATACAATAATCTTTATGAATTTTAAACATATTTAGATAAAAAAATTTAATTGTTCTAAGAACTGAACTGAACAAGATTCGCCAATCTTAAGCTGACAAAATACTTTTTTTCTCACTTAAACCAACTTGTAAACTCCTTAGATCGCTACGAACTGTCAAAGTTGTTTAGCAAAGTGTAGTTTGCTAAACAAAAAAAACCGGCACGGAGAAAGGGGCAAACAAACACACCGCTCTGTCTCATTTCTATGCAAGACGTATGCATAATACTATCTTTTTCGTGTGCGAATGCGAAAGAGGGCGTCAATTTGTCTATAGGTTTCTCTGTCTACGTTTCATATATTCTTTCATTGCAACCTTTCAAATGTCCACCTGAATACCATACACTATAGGTCTTTCACATAGGATTTTACCACACTTGCCACGCTTGTCCACCGCAATTTTATTACCTTTAGTTATTATCAAGATGTTGCTGCTGCTCATCTCCTGTTCCCTGTGTCGCATCTTACGATACACACGGCATGATGCGGTATAGTGAACATTCTTACGATACACACATCATGATGCGGTATAGTGAACATTCTTACGATACACACGGCATGATGCCGTATAGTGAACATTCTTACGCCGCGCCGTCACAAACAGCAATTCATTGTTATAAAAAACGGTTAACTGATACAGGCCTGAGTCAAAAATACGAATTTTAAGGAAAAATGTCTAGAGTTTAGAGTATACATAAGCTCTAAGGTCTAAAGATAAAAAGACAGTTAAAAAAAACTATTTCTGTTAATTCTTTTCTGAAAGTCAGTTTTTATAACTGGTTCATGGAATAATAATGTACTCCAGACCGAATTTCGGTCACGGCGGCCAGCTTCAACGGAGACTAGTCATCAGTGCAGAGAGGATTATAGTGTCCAGGTGTGTGCGCAAGCACAGGTGCACTCTCTATTCCCTCACTCTCATATTCCGATGTTAACCGACACGACCGGAGAGAAATCAGGCGCAAGACCAACGACTTTACGTGCTATCCGAAGCACGGCGGTGAGACTCCGCCAACTTTCTGACTCCGGGCAGCTACTGTAAATTTTTGAGGGAAAAACTCAATAGTTTTGTTTTTGACATAACCCGGGTTTCGAACCCGGGACCTCATGATCAGCAGTTGCATTTACAACCACTAGACAAACAAGGCAGGAATGTATAGTTCATGGAATATCAACTATAAATTAAATGAAACTAATTACGGCCTGCATCGCGTTTAATTTTATCTTCATGGATTTTATCGTGTGTAATTTTAATTCTTTTAATTTGTTTCATTTAATGAGCAGTGTTAGGTCTTTAAGACCATTCAACCCAATACGTCAAGATAAGAAATCATAAGTTTAAATTCTCCACTGTTCAAGCAATAATAAAATGGAACAAAAATATTAGCGACGGTTAATTGGGTAAAAGTACCGATTAAAAAACTAAAACCTCACTGCTTTTTAGAATGGTCTTTCAATTTATTTTAATTGGATCCACTTACACATATACATATTATCATAATAAAAGATAACATACAAATCAAGGGAAATGATAGAATGATGGTTATAGACACCTTATAGCGGCGCTGTCGTCGCGCCGTGTATTAATATTATATATATATATATAAAAAAAAAAAAAAAAATATACAAATATATATATATAGACATAAACACTCACGCCTGTCACCCAGAGGGGTAGGCAGAGACTACAGACTTCCATTTGGCACGATTCTGACACACCTCTCTCGCCTCCTTCACATCCATACACCTACGCATACATGCTCGTCGGTTAAGGGTACTCCTAATTTGGCCCGTTTTCAATAAATCGCCAATTTGGTCGATAAATTTTCGCCTATGACGTCCCTTTCCGACTCTGCCATTCACTTCTGCAACATAAATTTTCTTTGTCACTCTTTCCTCATTCATTCTTTCCACATGACCAAACCACCGAAGCATTCCTTTCTTAATCCTGGTCACAACATCATCTTGCAAACCACACTCTTCTCTTATTACACAATTTCTTACCCTGTCATTAAGATTCAGCCCTAACATACTCCTTAACGACCGCATTTCTACTGCGTTTATTCTACTCTCGTGCTTCTTCCGCCACACCCAACTTTCACTACCATACGTTAAAGTAGGGACCAACACAGCATTGTGAATTGCCATACGTGCCTTTTTCGACACATTTTGACTCTTCACAATAGAGTGCAGGGCCCCATTTACTCTATTTCCCGCATTCACTCGTCGCTAAATACGCAGCCCAAATATACAAACTCATCTACTTGCTCGATCAACTCCCCTTCTATTCTTATATATATGCGTTTTTATTAAACAGTATGGAAGTACACATTACAAAGGCTTTTTTTACATAGTAACTTTTGAAAGACTATCAATAAACGTACGCCCTTTTAGTAGAAACAAATTTCATAATTTTCAATAATATGGCTTTAAAATCTCATTTCTTAAAAAGCGTACTTTGGCCATTTTAGCACCAGGTCACAATAATAAAATGGAACAAAATATATATATATATATATATATATATATATATATATATATATATATATATATATATCCGTAATTTTCTAGACAATATTCGTTGCCTCATTACAGCGTGAAAGATGGACAAACAGACAAACTAAGAAACAATTAAATTCACTTTTGCATCTGCCAAATTATAATTAGAATAGTTAGGGTTACTCTGCTGTGGCTTTTGCTTTGCATGTTTGTGTTCGACAATCAAATAAATTGTCTATTTACCTCTCTAAAATGATTATGCTGATCCTCCATATAATCCCCTATAACAACTAACCTTTTAAAAAAAAACTTTACCCCCACACTAATTATTTTGTTGTATCGTGCAGGTCTACCTACATCCACATCCTGAACCGAAATAATTATTTGTATGCCATATAAATACTTGTTCCGTACGGGATTCTATACCCGCGGTCCTTCGAGCCTTAACTCATTGCGAGGCCACTGCACCACGGAGACGTCTGACCTTAAATCGTACTTGGAAAAACAATTGGTTCTGTAACTGTGAACACAACTTACCTCTGTATTGCTCTGGACTTCATTATCAAGCTGAACAGGCTGGTAGTCAAGCCCAGACTCGGGCGTGGTGTTACCCTGCTCTTGAGACACAACATCATCAATATTGAAGGTTCCACTGTTCAGTTGTGGCTCATATATTTCGCACTGATAATCATGGTCCTGAATACCAATTCTATTATCTCCCAGGTCTTCTAATGTAACAGTACACTTCTGTTGAGAGGAAGTATCCACATTGTGAAGAGTGCTAACTTTTAAGCAGACTTCAATCTTGTAGCGACTTTCATCCTGTAAAAAAATAACTTTGAGCCCATTTGAAACAAAGGTAATTTTTTTACATGGTAGAGCCACGCTGCAGCTATATTATAGCTGTAGCACGAATGGGTCGGCTCGACCGGAGAAGAACCACTCTCTCACAGAATACAATCACAAAATAGCAGGGTAGTCCTGCTGTGTTTAGTAGTGAGTGTAGAGAACCCGAGACTATTTTTTACTGGAATCGAGTCATTCCATCTTAGTCCTCAGGGGTGACAACGCTTTGGCTCTTTGATCCTTAGTTCTGGATAAATTTGTATGTCTATGGGCCACAGTATCCACTTACCATCAAATGGACTGTGTGCTCGTTTGTCACACAATGCTATAAAAAATAATGGTAGAGATAATTTTAAAATTACATATGTACTTCTAAAAAAAGCTCAACCGACAAATTATTTAAGAACTAGTGACACGCTGCGGCTTCACCTGCGTAGGATTTATCAATGTGGCGTCATTTAGATTTATAATAATCAAAGACCAAATTTTATGAAGTTTTCGTTTTATTTTATTTTTAGAAACAATAGGTACTCTTAAGTCTTTCGGATAAAACATAACCTCCATCACTCGTGGTATTGCTCTCCATCTGTTCGTGAAGTTTGTAACAATTGGTTCAGCCATTCCGTAGGTTAACGTGGACGACAGACAGACAATCGAAATTTATAAATATGGATATTCGCGTTTTAAGGTGGTCCTAGTCGATGGCACGAACTAAGTGGTGGGCGGGGTTAAAATGCATGCTATCTCAGCCAACATCACGTGCGAAAGCGAAAGGCATGATGATTTACAAAAAAAACGAGCACGCGAAATTTTATAAACAGACCTTTGGGAATTTGCATATCATTAAAAATCTATTGAATTTATCTGTTCAAAATAAAATTATTTGCATTTTTGAACACTTAATTTTTACTCGTCGACTACGACTACGTAAACGCGCAAACTTGTCTTTTGAGGATACTTTATTGAACAGTCCCGACTTCCGACACGAGTTTGTTCCGGTACTCAGCGACGTTTTGCCGAGAAGCAATTAATTTTATTTGCAACATATCATTGATATGCAGAAGAAACAGCGTTGGTGATAGAAACTGCCTTGTGGAACACCAGCGGTAATGGGCTTAACACCAGCGGTAATGGGCTTGTAATCAGAGCATACACCGTCGACTACGACCTTGATGCTCCAATCTGCAAGAAAACTGGTGATCCAATTGCACAATTTCTCGGGAAGCCCATAGGAAGAAAGTTTCGTAAGAAGCGCTTTCTGCTAAAGTGAGTATGTTCGCGTTTTGATAGATTATTTGAAAACTTTTTCTGTGACATGTAAAATATATATCCACAATTTTTTAGTTGAAAACTAAGATAACTGTCTTAGTTGAGAAAAATGGGAAAACGCTTTGTATGCAACAAACTTGTGGCTTGTGGCTTCCGGTAAAAGGTAATAATATATATATATATATATATATATATATATATATATATATATATTGATATGATACAAAGTAATTACACAGGAGTTAACGTCGATGGTGGATTCGGAACTGCCATAAGACATTACAAATATGTAGAACCTTTACAATTACGAATGTATCGTCGCTAAAACTTCGTCGCGACGCGATGTGACGGTAACTTTATATTATTATCGCATATTATTTGTACTTTCACGAAGGAACTACTGCTTTCGCATTAAGAGGATACCTTGAAAATGAATCAAGTTTTGGGGACGTGGCTTGTTCCTTTGTCGGTGAAGCTAACGGACGACTGAGGGAGTGTTAAAATGAAAGTGATGCAATGACTTCATAGTACGCAAATTACGAGATAGCCATACCGAGCAAGCGCTCAGAAAAAAACTAAGTAAGCGCCAAACAACATTTTTATTTATTTTAAAAAAAACTTCGTTATGGATTAAAAAACTGGTTTATGAGAACTTAGATATGATTATTTACTATGCTTTAAAAATAATTCTATGAAATTATTCGTAAGAATATTGTGGTGTCATCAAGAAATGTAAATAATTAGAGCCTACTTCGAAATTTTTTTCTATCGAGAAAATTACACGATATCGTGTTTTTTTGCAGATTGCTTAATAAGCGACCACATTTGCCTGAATGTAAAACAGCAGAAGCCATGTTCAAAATTGTGTGGCAATTAGTAAATACCTAAAGTCCTGTTTGTGATATCACGAAAAATTAACAGAGCGTCAGTTCTGCGCAACTTTTCATGATTGTATAGGACGGGTGTACAATGGCTCATCCAGCATTGGAAGCTGGGTGATATAAAAAAGCATAACAAAACTTTGTTAAGTATTCGATTCTTAAAAACATCACCTTGATTCTCGGCGTTACCAATTTGTTTTGCGATTACTTTCGATGACCTTACCTAAAAGGCTTTAAAACCGATGAAGTAACATTTGAAAGTCAATCTGTGGTCAATAGTAACAGTACAAGACTACACTAAACGGGGAGTTTTGGCGGGAACTTTACCGCTGACGTGTTGATAGTACGTATAATCATTTAATTGATTGAAATTGTTTTGAAACGTGATAGGGTTGCGATTTAGTGTATTAAATGTCTGCACATGTGAAGCATTAACGGAAGTGATGAAACTAATGCTATTATGGTAATATAAAGTAGAAGTTATAACCCAGCAGTGGGACGTATATACCCACACAGGCCTCTTCTCATTTATGAGAGAGTTTTGGGCAAGGAAATGCCCGCCAAGCTGCCCCAATGCGTGTTGGCGGACTTCACATGTCTTCGAAGATATTTTTTTTCTTATTACTCAGACATGCAGGTTTCCTCACGATGTGTTCATTGACCGCCGAGCACTTGATAAATCAGCACTTAAAATTGCAATTAACAATTTCATTGGTGACGGCAGGGAACTAACCTGGGTTGCTCGCGTACTGTAAAATATACATCGAGCGCTTAGCCCTTGAGCTACCACGGCATGGTAATATAAACCTCAAGGTATTTTGGTGCCATCAGAACTTTGGAATACTATCGTCATCACCTATCTGCTGGCTTGAACTGACGTTAAAATCTCTCAAAATCACAATGTGATGCATGTGGTAGTTTAGTTTAGTTTAGTTTACGACGGGCTGTTTTCCGCAACTCCACGTCTAAGCGCGTATTTTGCGTGTGGGCAGGAATAATATGCTTAATCGAGCCATGATATCTCCCCGAAGAAGCTCAGCAGTCCCTTGATGTTGCAAGCAACTTCGGGGAGCGATCCCGGCGTGCCGAGATGTTTAGCCCTGTATGAAGCGACTTCTGGACATGTCAGCAACACGTGAGCTGCCGTTTCTTGCTCTCCCATGCATGCCCTGCACAGAGGGCTGTCAGTAACACCTATGGTGAACAAATGTTTTTTAAAAGAGCCATGTCCTGTGATAGCACTTGTTACTATCCTGATCTGTGGCCTGTTCAGTCTCATTAGAACCTTGGTTAGACGACCATTTATTTCAGGTAGGGCCTCCCTAGCATGTCTACAGTCTACTAAATTTTTCCAAAGCTGAGCGTGTAAATTATTGAAGTATCTACGTACCAGTGAACGAACGTAGCCAAAGGGGATTGGTATTATTAGATCCGGCCCTATAGTTGCTAGGGCCGATCCCCTACTGGCCAGTTCATCTGCTGCATCATCGCCTCTAGATCCACTGTGTCTCTTGATCCATTGCAGTCATATTGTTGTGCTTACATACCTCATTCAATCGTTGATGGCACTCGTATATCAGACCCGAGTTTGTCACATTGCAACTCAGAGCTTGTAGTACCGCCATACTGTCGGTCAGTATTCTGATGGAGTAGTCTTTCACCTTCCTAGCATCTATTGCTATGGCCGCTTGGATGATACCCATGCATTCAGCCTGGAAGACTGTGTTGTGGGTACCCAGCGGTGTGCATATGTGGATATTAAGGTCTTCAGAGAAAGCCCCAGACCCCACACCTTCATTTGTCTTAGAGCCATCCGTGAAAACTTTGAACTCTTTTGGACCCAATCCTTCCAGATGGTCAGTTTCCTTCAATTGTATTCTGTACTTCTTATCGAATACAAATTGTTTTGGAATCCTGTCATACTTGGCTTGTAAGATAGGAATTTTTGAGTAAATTCTATCTATTATATCTGTATGGGGGAACTCTTACCTAAAATATTTAGGGTCTTGAGTCTAATGGCAGCTAAAGTTGCTTCTTGTTGTATATGTAGATGAAGCGGTGTTAGCTCCAGCATAGCCTCCAAAGCTGCTGTTGGTGTAGTTTTTATGCAGCCCATGGCAGCCATACAAGCTAATCTCTGGTAACGCTGAAGCTTTTGTATAGTGGTGGCTTCATTTGTTTTGGTCCACCATACGGGAGAGCCGTATGTGATCATGGGCCGAATTACAATTTTGTACAGCCACAGTATAATTTTTGGCATTAAGCCCCATCGTTTGCCAATCATGTTTCTGCATTGCCAGAAAGTTAAACTAGCTTTGCTGATTTTGTTTTCTATGTGTTTGTTCCAGTTAAGTTTACTGTCCAAGGTAAGACCTAGGTATTTTATCTCGGAAGAAAGTTGGAGTTTTGTGCTGAAAAGACTTGGAAGATGATAGTTATTCAGCATTCGTTTTTGTGTGAACATTACTATAACCGTTTTATTTGGATTAACGGTTAGGTCATATTCCCTGCACCATCTCTCCACAATACGGACAGCCGCTTGGGTTATGTCGCACACAATGCTTGCTGTCTTACCAGAGACCATTATTGTCAGATCATCTGCATAACCGACTGTGTAGAAATGGTTACCATTTAATTTGCTGATGAGTTCATTAATAACTATATTCCACAGGAGAGGTGAAAGAACCCTGTGGGCATCCTATCATGATCTGAATTGTCTGAGATTCACCAGCAATCTTTATTGTTCGTGTACTGAGCATGTTTACTATCCAGTCAATAAGTGCCGGTTCAACATTATGTCTGCATGTGGTATCAGCTTTCTTAGCATTGTGGGAAAACTGTATGGTAAGGTACTAATTGAAAGAGTTATGAAAGAAGCTAAAGGGAAAAATTTGGGATATGCAAGCGGGATTTAGAAAGGGAATGGGGTGTACAGATCAAATCTTTTCCATGATCGCGGAGAAGTTTTTGGCAAAAAGCCAAAAGGTTTTTTAGAATGCGGATTAAGAATGGATGAGTTAACCGTCAAATGCCTTTTGTACACCGATGATCAAGTCATACTTGCGTCGTCAGCGGCCGCATTGCAAATGGTGGTTAGATTAATGAACAGGTCAATAAAAGAAAGGGGAATGAAAGTGAATGCAAGTAAGACGAAAGTTATGGTTTTCGAAAAAGAAGAAAGTAAAACGATGTGTGAATAGAAGGGGAGATGGTCGAGCAAGTAGATGATTTTATATATTTGAGATGTGTATTCAGCAGGGATGGGAGATATGATAAGGATATTGAACGACGAGTGAATGCAGGAAATAAAGTAAATGGGGCTCTACACTCTATTGTGAAAAGTCAGAATGTATCAAAAAAGGCACATATGGCAATTCACAATGCTGTATTAGGCCCTACTTTAACATATGGTTGTGAAAGTTGGGTGGTTAGGTGGAAAGGTGGTTGGGTAGAACAAATGCAGTCGCTAAGGAGTATCGTATGGCTGAATCTGAGTGACAAGGTGAGAAACTGTGTGATAAATGAAGAGCGTGGTTTGCAGGATGATGCTGTAACCAGAATTAAGAAAGGAATGCTTCGGTGGTTTGGCCATGTAGAAAGAATGAATGAGGAAAGACTGACAAAGCAAATATATGTTGCATAAGTGAATGGAAGAGTCGACGGCCTAGACGAAAGTTTGTCGACCAAATTGGGGACCACCATACATTAGTAATTTTACATATATATATCTATATGGTACCTGTCAAATATTAGTTACCTGAGAGGCCAGCTACGGTAAAATACGTATACGTATATTTATGTACATACGGCATCACAAATGTAGTCAATCTTTCTGGATGCCGACATGATCATTCTTCAATTACCTAAATTTCTTACTACTGGCGCATGGATAAATTATACAACGTGCCATTATTTAGATCTGTTATGAGTAGGAACAAATTTCAATTATTGCTACGATATTTCCACTTTTCGAAAGATGATGAGCGAAATAAGAAAAACCGCCTTCATAAAATAAATCCTATCTTAGAAATATTCAATACATTTATGTCGGAAACATATTATCCTGAGAAAAATCTTAGCATAGATGGTACTATGGAGAGGGTGATTGATCTTTAGGCAATACATAAAAAATAAAAAACACAAATATGGATTCAAACTTTACGAATTATGTGATTCTTCTGGTTTAGTAATGAAAATCCATGTCTATAGAGGTAAGAGTGAAAAACCACCACCTAGAACTTTGCACAGTACAGATGTTGTTCTTGATCTTCTCAATGGATATTTAGGCAAAGGTCATGTGGTTTACGCAGATAATTTTTATAACTCTGTAGATCTAATAAGGAGTCTTGGTCGACAAAATACCTATATTTGTGGTACTTGTGAAGTAACCGTAAAGGGAATCTGTCAGAAGTGATTTTGGCAAAACTGAAAAAAGGTGAGCTCACCTTTCAGTTGTCGGGTGACATAACTGAGAGACTAACTGAAGACAAGTGCGACGTATTGGTTATTTCAAATAAACACAACCTGGAAATGGTAAACATAAGAAACCAAAATGGAATAATTTCATGTAAGCCCAATATAGTCGCTGATTGTAATTTGGCCACGTCTGGAGTCGACCAAGGTGACCAAATGGTTTCTTATTATTCTTGCTTAAGAAAAACATTATGATGGTATAAAAAGCTGGCTCTGCACATATTTGATGTGTACATGCAAAATGCACATAGACTTCTCCGTAAACAAGATCGCACTTCTAAAATGAGATTGATAAAATTTTGTGAGTGATTTATTACACATCTACTTGGAATGTCGGATAATTGATACACAGGCCTCAACTTCACAATCTTCTCTTTCTCTGACAATTTCCATTACTAGAAGAAGATACCGAAGAAGAACCTTAAAAAAAGATCCCCAGAAAACCATGCAGTTTGTACTAAAGAAAAAAAATGAAACGAAAGCACTTATTTTTTCCCTGTGTCCAGCACAACCAGCTTTGTGTATTCTCAATTGCTTTAAAATATACCACACAGATCCCAGATTCATGTCCTAAGCAGATTTTTTATTTTATGAGTGCCAAAATTGCTAGACTGATAGAAATTATTACTTCTGAGTTACTAAAATTTGATTTCATTTACTTTACATAAAAATTGTATTACTTTTTGTCCTAAAGATTTATTTTATTTTTGTTAGTACTTCTAACTACTTTTGAAAAGGCGGTGATTTATAAAATGTCTAAATATTGTTCAAGACTTTTTGATAACTTATTTTTTTTCTTCCTTACAGTTAATAAAGTAACTTTTTATAAATGCTTGTTTTATTTAAGATGCCAATCTACAGAAAAAAGTTCGCTTAAGGAGGCCAGCTAACATAAATTTCATGTAAACACTCATAGAATTCCTACGGACATATCCGTAGTCGGCATCCTGCATAGAAAATATACATGTATACATACATATTCGGCATTCAATGGGTTAAGAGTACGCTTAACCGACGAGCATGTATGTGTAGGTATAAGGATGTGGAAGAGGCAAGAGAGGTATGGCAGGCCCATGCTAAATGGAATGCTGTAGTCTCTGCCTACCCCTCTGAGTGACAGGCGTGAGTGTTTATTTTTTTGTTTATGTATATATGTCATGTTTAGGCTGGTATTCTGTGAAAGTATGGGACCTATTCATGCTACAACCATAATATCGCTGCAGTGTGGCTCTATCACATATTACTTTTTAATTATTAAATAATAATTTAAAATATATAAAAAACGTAACAAAAAGCAGCAAATGCGAATTTTAAAAGTAGTGATAAGATTATCACTACTTTGACACAGCTAATGTTACAAATGTTACAAAAACTTACACAAACTACGATAAACATATAATTCCCAGGTTGTAAATTTGATAACCCTGGTTAAAAAAATTATTTTAAAAATATAAAAAAGGTGACACTCACGATCTGCTGCGCATTTAAAAGTACACCGTCACTATAAGAGAATAAGCGATTTGGTAGATTGTTCAAATAATCAACGAAGCCATTCAAAAATTTTACTTTTCTTTCTACACTTAATTCCGTAAAACAAATCGATATAAGAAAGCACTGGCTCAAAAACAAGCAACTAATCAGTTTCATGACGCTAAACAAAATATGATCATTGCTTTGTAAACACAAATAATGAAAGTGAAACTGATAATGATTGATGTTGTCAAATGTTAATCTGAGATCGATTAATCGAAATATTAATTTCTTGTGCCAAAAAGATCGATTTTGAAAATCGATATATAGTACTAAATCGATCCAGTGAAACGATGTTTCACCGTAGAAAATAGAGATCGAATCTTTTTCTGTTTTCATAAGAACAATAAAGTTTTTACAATTAGTTGATAACGCAAACTCATAAAAAACGACAGTTATCTATTCAAAAACTAGCAAAACTGCTGTGTGCTCTAATTATTTCGCCTCTTCTTAATGAATTAAGGAAATTAAAAATAAGTTGCGTTTGTAATCTGACTTTGTACGAATCTGAAAGCAAATCGAAAATGATTGATTTATCAAAAATCGATCTTTTTGTGAAACGATTCATCAGATTTCAGCTTGTATCGATTCAAAAATGGATCTTTTTCGGAAAGAGTCGACATCCCTACAGCTAATAAATTCGCACACAGGGCTACCAACTCTAAAAAATATTTACCCCTAAAGGTTAAGTTAAAAACCCCTAAAATCACCTTATTTACTTAGAAATTCCCTAAAAATAAGTACAATGCTTTGTAATACTCTTTGTATATTATTCATTTAATATATTAAATATTATTTCGTTTTCTTCTGATGGTTCCGACATATTACAACACTGACCTGACAAAATGTTTGTGTCAGTTTAAACTTTTTTTTTTGCGCCCGAAGCAAATATGGGCAACCCTCCGGAAAGCGGGGGAGGGAGGCGGTGAATGCTCATAGCATACCACGCAGCCGGCTGCGTGGTTATGTGGAGACTTTTACCCACTAAACACCGCCTTTTAGGAATTGGCTTAACGATCTGACTAGAGATCTCTAAGCCGTATACGAACGCGACCCTCCTTGGCAGAAAGGAGGGCGCAAGCGGCGAAAGGCCGCTTAGAAGAGTGCCTTACTAAGGCAGATTAAGGGATGTGTTATGTAGGCTCGGCCTGAGCCGCCAGGAGGCAGTTCAGGTCGGCCGAAAGCTTGTTGGGGGGGTCCGAGAGAGAGTTTCTCGGTCTGCGCACACTATAGCGAGTGTGGATAGGGGCTGCATAGGCAGCTGTCTCACGAATGAGATGATTTGGGTGGGACTCTGAGGCTTTGAAAAATCTCTCAGAGAGTGATTTAAGAAACTGCTGGATTGTTGGGAGCTCTAAGTTTCGATGTAGGTCGGCATTACGGACATAATAGGGCGAGTTAGTGGCCCTACGACAGAATAGATTTTGAACTATTTGAAGTTCATTTATAGCTTTGGGCTTAGCATGTGCGAAAATGGGGGCCGCGTAGGTCATGACAGGTCGTATGCAGACCTTATATAGGGTTCGCTTGTTGCGGAGGGACTTTTTACTGTGTCTGCCCAACATGCTGTTGAGCCTACCCATGTAAAAATGTGCGGTGCGAGTAACCTTCTTGATATGGGGCTCGAAAGTGAGCCTTGCATCAAGGGTGACGCATCTCGACTAACCTAACATCCTGATTGGCGGAGTGGTGGTGAGACGACGTCGTTTATATTCGAAGCAAACGGCGGAGCTTTTCTCCGGGTTTACGTCGATACGCCATTTTTGTAACCAAGCTCCTAAGTCGCTTACTGACTTTTGGATCTTGTTCCGAATCTGTGGTAGTGAGTTGCCTTTAGAGTAAAGGGCTGTGTCATCTGCAAAGAGGGCTAGTTTAACACCATTCGACGAGATAGGGATGTCGTTGGTGAATATTTTTGGGGAATGGTGGTAGAGGATAGCGTGCCTTCGTGTCTAAAGCGAAAGGTACGATCCTTTAGATAGGAGGCTACAAGGCGAACGAGACGGTCCGGGAGGCCTAAGTCGTACAGTTTGTAGATAAGGCCCTCGTGCCAGACTCTGTCGAATGCCTTGGCAATGTCAAAGAAGACCGCGATGGTTTTTTGACGGCGAGGATAAAAACCGCTGAGGATGTATTCCACTATGCGGTGAACTTGCTGGGGGCACGAGTGTTTGGCTGCTGTTTGCGAATAGTTGTGGGATGACAAGAGGGTCGCCGTCTGTGGGAAACAAATGGCGCCTCAAGCGCACGAGAATAACTCGTTCGAAAAGTTTGCCCATGGCCTTGAGTAGGCTGATGGGATGGTGATTGGAGGGGAGGTGGTGAGGTTTGCCTGGCTTGGGAATGCCAATGACAGTTGCCTCTTTCCAAGAGGTGGGAAAGTAACTGAATTCGAAGCAGGCGTTAAATATAATGGCCAGTAAGGCGATTACCTCCTCCGGGAAGTGTTTGAGGGCTTGGTTGGAGATACCATCCGCACCCGGTGCTTTTTTGGGCTTAAGTCCTTTGATGGTAGATGAAATCTCATCTTTGGACACAGTGATAGGGTCAGAGGCGGTAGGGGGCGAGTTCCTGCGTCGGACCTCATCCTCCACTAGTTGGATGTGTAAGGGGTCAGTGGGTTGTGAGCTAGGAGAGCATTGAGCGGCGACGCTGTCAGCGAAGCACTCAGCCTTTTCTTCGTCCTCGAAGGCAATGGAGCCGTCCGGACGAGACAGAGGGGGAGTATGCGTTATAGCGTCTATCCGGAGGGCTCTCGCCATCCGGTAGTACGCTGTGTGGGAGGGAGAGATTTTCTCCATGAGATTGCCCTTTTCGTGGTCTCTGTAATCTTGGAGGCGGTAACGCAGTTTGCGTTGAAGGCGGTGGGCCGCGAGTCTATATTCGGGAGTGGGATAGCGTGCAGCTCTGCGGAGGGCAGCTTTTTTGGCTTTTCACAGGTTGCTAATATCTAGAGGAAGACTAGTTTTAGTAACCGGGACATGTTTTTCATTCTCTTTAAGAGAGGATGTTATAAGTGAGGTGAGATTTTCGACCGCGGTGTCTATTTTCCCCGTACTGTCGAAGGCGTCGGAAGAAAGGGTTATGGGAGGGTCCGGAGAGTCTATAGCCGAGGCTAGAGACTTCTTGAAGCCCTTCCAGTTGGTGTAGGTTTTGGAAGTGGGAGTTGGAGATGGCTGATGGTCAAGAAGGAGGGATACAGGACGGTGGTCGGATCCTAGATCATCGAGAGACTCGATTGCTCTAAGGTTAAGGGAGACTCCTTTAACTAGAGCAAATTCTAGCACATCAGGAGCGTAGTTAACAATGTCGGGATAGTGGGTGGCAGTGAGGGGGCTGTAGACAGTCAGGTCGAGAGACTGAGTGATATTGAGCAGCACCCTGCCACTACTGGTAGTAGTGCGGCAGGTCCATTCAGTATGCTTGGAGTTGAAGTCTCCAAACATAATGACTGAGTCGCCTAATGCAAGGATGGCTTCGAAGTCACTCTTAACGGGGAGGGTTCCGCTAGGGATATAGCAAGAGGCTATTATGATTGACTGGTGTCCAGTCATAGCTAATCTAGTGATAGTGGCTTCCATACTGGTAAGCGACGGAGTAGATATGTGGGAGCAATGAAGGGACTTTTTGTAATAGATGGCAGTACCGCCGCCTTTGCGGTTGGGTCTATCGTTACGTAGAAGTGAGTAATTTTTAATAGTAAGGCCTTTAGAGACTTTGGGGCTGAGATGGGTCTCCTGTAGGAGGAGGAGATCGGCTTCGCGATCTCGAAGAAATAGCCTAAGCTCTGGGAGGTTATTTCGCAAACCGCGGATATTGAATGAAACAAGCGACAAACCCTTTGGTTTGATACGACCGTGAGATATAGCGGGAGCAGAGGGCTCCGGCATAGTTTAAATTACAAAGACCTTAGTAGGTTGATGTGCTCAGTAAGAGCAAGGAGACCGTCCTGAGGGGACTGAGCTGTGCGCAGTTTACGCGCAAGGATAAGGATTTCGTCTAAATTGATCGTATTGAGAGTGTTATACACTAGGTTTAAAGATTCTACTACAGAGTCTGTCTGTTTTTGTGGGTCGGCGGAGGGCCGCGGGATATTTGATTCCTTTTGGAACCAGGGGTTTATTGGAAGCGGCGCAGGCTGAGAGAACGGAAGGCTCATAAGGGGCCGAGGAGGGCCCTAAGGTGGCCGATAGATGCTCTGTGTGGGCTGAGATGAGCCCTGAGGGGGGCTGAGGTAGGGGCTGGCCCTGGCTGGGCTTGCGGCTTACAAGAGCCGGGAAGGTTCGGTCATTGACCTGGGGTGGAGCTTTGCGACTCGGAGGTGGGCGAGGAGCGCTAGGGCAACCTCTAAAATTGGCCGGATGGCCTGTTTGTGCGCAAAGGACACATGAGGGTGGGGATTCGGCGTTTTTGGGCCGGGGGCACTCTTTCGAGTGATGGGGTTCTAGGCACTTAACGCACCTGGGTGGAGCTGAGCAGTTGGCTGCCGCGTGCCCGTAGAGTTGGCAGCGGTGGCACTGCGCTGGGTAACCGCGCCGGTGTGGGGCTTCGACCTTTACGCGCGAAAGGCCGCACACAGTGCGTACCTCGCGGAAAATGGCCTTCGCCTCCGGCACATTGGTGAGAACAAGGAGGGCAAGGTTAAACGTTTCGCCCCTGCTGCTGTGCATTTTGTGCACAGCCTCTATGGGGAAGCCCTGAGACTTAAGGTCTTCCAGAATGTCCTCGTTTGCGAGTTCATAGGGAACTCCGCGGAGGACTGCCTTGACTTTCCTTTCTTCGGCGAGGGCGTATGTGTGATAGGACACACGCTCGGCCGTGAATAGGCGGGTTATGTTCCGGAAGTCTTCTATAGACGCCGGCACAATTTTGATGGCCTCGCCGACATTGGTGGCTTGGTCATATTTGAAACCCTTATCGTAGAGGGTTTTGGACAGCTGAGTGAATTTCGCCTTGTCTCTGAGAAAGACAGGGGGCGGGACTTGGTTTTTAGCCAGTTTGGGAGCGCAGCGGGTTGCTGGCTTGGCGGTAGTATCTTTCGACTGAGAGGCGGCAGCGTTTGGGGCTGCGGGGGTAGGGGCAACGATGGGAGCTGCGGAGGGAGTGCGGGCGGCGGC